CCCACCACGGCTGCGCCCGGGGTCCTCCCACTCTGCGAGCCCTGCATCCAACGCAGCGACCTCAGTATCTGACTTAACTGAACCCCAAGCCTCCCCAGAAGTGGTTGTCTGGAGAAGGGCTTGCAGATGGGCTGGCAGCCTCGGGGACAGAAGAGAATGTGGACAGGGATGGGTCTGAGCCAAAAGGTGTGCGGGGCAGAGCGGTGAGGTGGCCCAGAAGTGAGATCCTCTTTCTCATAGAAGGCATGAGAACAGTTCTCCACGCTGCACGTCCACACCCACACCCTTCGTTGTGACCTTATCGTTTGACACTTCCCAGGGTTATGAAAGCAAAGGGGATCGCCTCTCATTTCTTCTCGCCCAGGAAGCATCCACATAACGCTTCTCCCTCCACCAATTCGGGACCCTTCCAAGCTATACCCTCTTGTATTACCCCTGTGCCCCCAATTGAAAGGGCCAGATCTGTGCATGGATCCCACCCATCATCTCCACTTGACCTCAAGATGTGAGTCACCCTTAAAATAGTGACCTTTCTACTTAGAGCCAAATATTTTCACGAAAAAGTCTTTGATAACTTAAGGGCTAGGTTTCACTTGCTACTGGGTGTTTCATGGCTGCCAAAAAACTGGCGGTCAGGGTGGAAAGCCCCATGAGCTCACACAAGCCTCTCCTCCCAGGGTGGAATGTTCTTGGAGCCTAGGCTGTTCACAGCCTCATCTTGTCTTGGCACAAAAGTCCAGATGAGATTGGCTCCCAGATTTCTGAGAAACTTTAATCTGGCTCACTGTGCAACTTGAAATTTGGTCAATTAATCTGACCTTCAATTCTGTCACTTGGGACGTGTTTATCCCAAATACACATACATATACAAAAACATATGTATTTTTCTCTCTTCCTTAGCCTGCACTTTTCAATGGAAAAAGTCCAAATTTTATTTTTCTCTTACCCATGGAGCCCAGTGATGTATTTGACTACTTATTATTAATAAGAACTAATCCAAAATACATTCAAAATATTATGCAAATACTAAATAATTATCATTTATTATAAAATGCAACTCAAATGAGATGCATGTTACATATTCAACAATGACGCAATATTTATTGTTGAACTATTTAATAACCCAAGGATGAGAGTACAATGAACTCACCAAATTAACTAAATGCAAAATACTGAGTCTGTTCCTTCAAATTCTGATGCAAAACAAAGGCTCAGGGGTAAGTTTAGAGAAAGGCTGAAGCAAAGAATATCTTCTTAGAAGAGAAAACAGAGCTTCTTGTTATCTTGCCAGTGACAAATGCCAAATAATTTCTGCCAAAATGATAAACCTTTTAATTCCTATGGATTTTCTATCAGGGTCATATCTTAAGCACTTTATGTAACTTAACCATAATCTTGCTTCTATCCTAGCTGTTCTTCCTGGAAGATGCAGATGTATTCAAAGAAACATTTTAGTGTTATTCTCTTAGCATTGTGCTCCCAATAGTTGGGCATCATTGACTCTCTCAAGAAACCAGAGGGCAAGTGATGATTAAGTACATGGGGACTCCAAATAGTACCCACTGGCCACTACAACAGAGCAGTATCATGTGGTCCAAGATAGCAGGTTGGTACTAAATGGTACCCAGTAACCTAACAGAAGCAATGTTGTTCACTAAAATTCCTGTTAATTCCTGGGTAATTAAGCTTTTGGCAAATCTAACTCATAGTCCATAACTCTTAACTGAAATGAAATCCAATGAGGAAATTCCTAATTCAAGTAATTTTCCAACACTAATGTTACTTCCTTTATATCATCAAGGTACTAATCAAAGAAGTGACTGGAATTAATATACCTTTTCCTCATGAAAGTGTGACGTTAATGGAGCTTCCATTCCTGCTTCCAAAAGTTAATACCTCAGCTGTGTGTCTCAGTAGCTATTCCAAGAAGCCATAGCTCTGTGTCCTATATTATGACAATAGCTTGGCCACAACTCTGTCCAGGGCTCCTATTAATTAAGTGCTTGTGTTTTGCCTGCTGGGGTCTTTTATACATTTTTAAATTTCATTATCATGAGAACTGTGCAAGGCAGGTATTATCCTCATCTTATGAATGAAGGAATTTAGGTATGGAGAGGTTATATCATTTGCCCATAGCCATGCAGTTAATAAATGTTTACCTAACTCCAATTTTTAAAAATACTTGTTTTAAAATTCTAGCTATTTTTCCAGTTGTCATGACCATATGTTTTAAAGTAATACAAAATTCTAGTGTGAAGTATAACCTCTAGGGGAAAATGCACTTTTAATCAATGAGTTTATTATTTCCTAATAGAGAGTGAACAACTCTCTTCTAGGTGCACAGTTTCCTTTAGTGATGGGTACCATCAATGTGTCTACTTTTTAAAAAATATTTTTTAGTTGTTGATAGACCTTTATTTTTATTTATCTATATGTTGCCCTGAGAATTGAACCCAGTACCTCACACATGTCAGGCAAGTGCACTACCACTGAGCCCCAGTCCCAGCCCCAACTTTGGTCTACTTTGGATTAGCCTTTTTATAAGGACATTTGCACTTTAACCTCTGACATAAAGTTGATGAACAACCATGTCTATATGTACTTCCTTTCTTGAAAGTAAGTTTTTAGTGTAAACCAGAGAGAAGAAAGAAAATTAAAAAAAAATAATTTGAATTAATCATACAACCTTTTCATAATCACCTTTCAGGAACCTTTGATTGGTTTCTTCATAAAAAAAATATGCTCAATCATGTGGATTCACATAAAACTCCAAAATAAGGGATATCATCAGGAAGAGATGCACTTCCTGATTTTATCTTTTACTCCCTTTCTAAAAGGGAGAATTCACTCCTGGCCCATTTACAATCTCTCCTTGGTGGTAAAAGACATGCAGTGATTCTGGGGTAGAATATTGTGCATGTTTGTTGACTGTCATGATTATGAACAACAGCTTTGTAGAATATGATCATTGTTATAATTCTCCTTTATATTTCTTCCAAAATAGTGTAAGATCTTTATGGCATTTCCCCCTAATGACTAGATTATTTGTACCTTCCACTAGAATGACAGAAACTCAATGATGAGGGGCCTTAGCAGCAGACTATCCAAGTTTTACTCAGTGCGTGAACTTACTCTACAAACTATTATGGGAAGCTGCTTCAGAAAACACTCTAAGTCTGAATTCAAATCAAAGAAAGCTTTATTTACCTAGCCAGGGACTGTCACCCACCAGTAGAGACTAAAGCTCTGTGGGAGAACAGCAACCTCCTGGCCTGTGTCTTGGGAATTTAAGGACGAAAACCACAGCTCAGGGGCTTTTCTCAGCATCATGCAAGCAAGCAAGTTAAAAAAAGCAGTTAGCTTAACTCATCTCAGGTCCGAACACGTGTTAGACAACCGTATCCTGAGTTTCAGCTGAGCAGGGGTATAATCTATTTCAAAGTCATGTAGATCCATAAATATACTCAAACCCAGATGTAGCTCACTACGACCACCACCATATCCTGAGTTGGGTACATTCTGTGGGGTACAAAGTACAGAAAAACAATTTTTATAAGAAGATAGCTTTCATTTCTATTTCTCAGAAATGGGTCATGCAACAGTTTTTTTAATAGAAGGCAGCAAAATGGAGTCTTCGACCTATGACAGTTCTTGCTTTATAATTATCTTATCTCACTTATCAAAATCTTATATCTATAATCTATATTTTTTTTTACTAATCTATAACCTATAACTTACACTTTTACTGATCTTATTGATTAGTTTACACCACAACACAACTAGTATTCTTTCTACCTCCACTCTGTTGTTTTTACCCTGGCACTTGTGGCAAAAGTGAAGAGAAATAGGATTTGCCTCTAAGAGTTAGGATAGACCAGGAGATTCTTGATGAAGTAGATGAGATCTTTAAAAATAATTGATTTAACTAGTCATTTATCTCTGGCTTGGCTCTCCAAACATGTTGTGGTCTAAACCAAACATATAAGAGTTTAAATCTGCACAAAGGAAAAAAGGCCTCCACCACCCTCAAATGTCCTCTATGAAATGACAGAGAGCTTCACAAAGCTTGTTTCTCCCTTTCCCGTCTAAGTGTAATTAATCTTAGTAAAGTGGAATTCTACATAGCCCACTCTCCTGATGGACAGCTCCTGAAATTTAGCTGAGATCCACGTCCCTGGAATTTTCCTGTTGGTCCCAAGTCTTCAGTTTGGGACTTGAGAGAACAAGTCTAATGTCCCTGCCTTTCATTCCACAACCTTATTATGTTCTCCCAAATTCAACTCCTCATTAACTAAGAATCTCTAAACCTTTCATTTTTTCCTGTAGGACATGATTTGGAATCACCATGGCAATGCAACTGTCAATATCTCCCTGCACATCAGCCTCCCAGGACTGAACATGGCACGGCAAGGGTGGTCTGACCAGGGATGCTCAGTGATTTCAATGGTTGTTGACACATAGTTTCTATTAAAAGAGCCCAACATCAAATCAATGTCTCTGACAAATATGCATTCTATTGACTCATCCAGTCAATTAAAATCTCTATGCTTGTCACGTTTTGCTCTTACATTTCTTTTTCTATATTTGCTCAAATAATTCTGAATTTTCCTTTATTAAGTTATATATTGCTACTTCATTCCCTTATCTAACCTGAACGAGATCCTTCTGGACACTAATTATGTCACCAGGCATATGACTTATCCCTTCAGCTTCCCATCAGTCTAAATGAACACTATACCAACTTTCTCAACTCAGTTGTTGATAAAAGCTTTCAACAGGAACATAGTCCCGGCAGACATCATCAGCTCATTGCCCATGACCTCTCTCCAGATGGATAGTTGATGGTCAATGATTTTCTCAATGTACTTGGGTAATTACAGAGATTAACACTGGTCTCTACAGCAAATAAATATCTACACATAGCTAAAATTCACATTTTTACATCTAGGATTATATCCTTAACTTTGATGGCATTTGTTGAAGTCAGGAGTATTTATGGAACACATGGAGTTTGCATTCATCTCCCATTCATCCAATATATAATTGTTGAATATCTCCACTGTGCAAGACACTGTGCTAGGTGGGAGTAACACAATCATGATATAGAGTTACAAGAAACTTGTGCCCAGGCGGGGACAGCTTGTAGAGAGTCTGTTATTCAACCCATTCTTAGACAATTATTTAAATACTACCAAGAAGGAAGAGAACACAAAGAGCTTTAGAAAAAAAACTTCCCTTCCCCGAGGAAATAACATTTATAAGAGACTTGAGTCGGCCAGGCCATAAGAGGGAAGGGTATTATTCCAAGCAAAAGAAATCACCATGTAAAGATTTTGCACGGGAAGCGGCTTATTCAAGGAACAGAAGCAGGTTGAAGTAACTGGGCTCAGTGGGCAGAGAAAAGTGAAGAAAGACAGCTGTGAAGGTGGGCGATGGCTGGAGCTCTGGGGTCTATTAAGGAATGTGACTTTGCCCTAAGAGATGAGGGAAATCATTGAAGGGTTTGTAAGCAGAAAGGGGGATGTTTAAAACCTGTTTTCGTTTTTCTGGCTATTGGAGAAGGGCAAGAAAATAAGAACAATTTTAGCATCCAGGTCTTGATTTGAGAGGGTGACAGGAAAGAAGAGTAAGTAGAAAGGAAACTTAGAGTGGTCATTTATCTACTATAATTCTCTTGTGATGCAAATCTGAATTTGCTAATGATTTCACATACTTGAAGTTTTTTAAGTCCATGCATTAAATACATTTTCAAGTGAAAAATAGTATTTTATAAAATTATAGATTGTTTTCTGAATAATCATTTCAGAAAAACAGTTTTAAATGTGGATTTATACATTCTATCGCTGTCCCCAAGGCGTTGAATACTTCTCCCAAAATAATGAAAATTTTACTTAAGGATCACAAAGTTAACCTTAAAAATAGTCTCTGATGCTAAAATGTATCTGTGTAGAACTTTATTTGGCCAAACTTTTCCTTCTAGAAGTTTCTCAAAGGGACAAAAGTTCACCTTCTGGATTCATGAACATACACAGATTAAAATATGCTACTTTGTTGATTAGTATTTCCTGATAGCTGTCACTGTTCTATGGGACACAAATACATAAGCCAAAACAAGTTATGTTGGTCCTCTGGAAGGCATTAAATCCACCAGAAAAACCTAAGCTCTTTTTAAACCCAAGCCTCATACAGTAGTGATTGTCCTTTTATTGGATATGCCTGTGGACTGAATAACTTCACCAATAAAAACCAAAGAACTTCTGGCAAGTTTTCAATATATCCTCAGGTATCTTCAAATTTTTAATTTTAACTTAATCTTATTTTTATAAGTGGATTCGTAAAGTTGTCTCCTAAACAAAGAGAAACTTTGCTGTTGATAATATAAGTAAAAAAAAAAAATCACTGTTTTGGTGTATAGGTACTCTTCTCTACTTTTTCATGTCTATGCACATATGAAAAATTATAGTTTTGTATTGAAAAATGGTAGAATGTTAATGAATATGATGCTTAGAAACTTTTTTCATTCAATAATCAACATGAAATGTAGCATAAATCTAAATTTAAGAACCAACACTATAAAACCTCTCAAAGAAAAAAATGTAAAAATAGACTCTGTGATCTTCAGTTTTACAAAGACTATTTAAAGAAGATACACGAACATGAAAGAAGAACTACATCAATTGGTTTTTGTGAGATTTAAAAACTTTTGCCCTTGAAAGACACTGTTAAGAAAATGGAAACATTACCCACAGAGCGGCAGGAAACATTTGCAAAATATGTATCTGAGAAAGATTTTGTCTTCAGAAAAAAAGATCCTTGTGGTTCAACAAGAAGAACAAAAACAAAAAGAGGGAGACTATTTGAATAAACAAAATGCCAAAGAAGATATGAGAATGTTCAAATATCATTAGTCATCAGTGGGATGCAAACTAAAGGCACGTGATACCACTACATACCCAACAGAATGACTAAAACAATACCAATGATACAAATGTAGGGAGAATGTGAAACAGCTGGAATTTGCCATTATCACTGGTTGAAATGCACAGCAAAATGATAAAACCATTTTGCAAAATAATTTTCCAATTTCTATATAGTTAAATATATACCTACTCTGTCACCCCACATCCCCACTCCTAGAAAGGTACCCAAGAGAAAGAAATACATATTTACACAAAGCCTTGTATTTAAATTTTTCATAGCATTTTTATTTATATTAGATAAAAACTATCCAAATATACTTCTAGTGGTGAATGAATACACAAATTGTGGAATATTCATACAAGAGAACACTATTCAGCTATTTTTAAAAATCAACAAACACAATGGCATGCTATACAATGACATGGAATGAACCCAAAGTTATATGTTAAGTGAAAAAAAATACAGGCACAAAACCCTCTATGCTGCATAATTCCATTTATGCAAAATTCCAGAAAAGGCAAAGAAAAAGATCACAGGCTATTGGGGCTGGAGTTGGGAAATGACGATTCACTACAAAGAAGCATGTGTAAAATTTTGGGGATAATGGAATTACTTTATGCCATTATTGGGGTGCTGATAATAAAACAGTACCCATTGTCAAAACTCAACACATCATACATTTAAAACTGGTCCATTTTAATATATATAAATTACAGCTCAATAGAGCTTATTCAAATTTTTTGTACTCCAATTAAAAAGTCAAATAACAAATGAAAATATTTGAAATATATATGACAGACAAAAGAGTACAATTCCTAACTTACAAAGAGCAATAGAAATTTGCAGGTAAATATCAAGCCATTTAATAGAAAAATGAACAAAGTATTTGAAGCTTTGCATGTTAGAGTTGGTGCAAATGGCTATTAGTCATATGAAAATATGTTCAACCTTACTGAAAGTATAAGTCCTTGTAAAAAAAGTGAAAAATGAGATGCATTTCCACCAGTTTGGGACCTATTGGGAAAACTGATAATATGTATTGCTGGCGAGTATATGGAGGAAAGGAAATTCTCATAAATCCCTATAATCTCTTAGAAAACAGATTAGATCCAAAAGAATCTATTTTGCAAAAATAAGGATATTCCTTGCCAGTCTTTCCCTATACTCAGTGGTAAAAAAAAAATCTAGGGGAAAGAAACTACTCCTTAAAAACAGGGAAATGGTTGAATACAATAGGGTACAGAATACTACAGAATATTATGTTGCTACTACAGAGTTAGGTTATATATACTGACCTGTAGAAATGGATGTGAGAAATTTTTATGTGAAAAGGCAAGTCGTAGAAATACATTATTTGGTAATAAAAAGAAATAAAACCTATATTGTGTATATGTTTACATATGATTTTGTGAACTGATAGAACTAAATAAAAATATATATCTGAAATGACAGATATTGGCTACTTGGAAAAGAGCCGGGGAAACAGATTGTTATTCTTGTCTTTGTGCATCTCTATGTTAATGCCCTGTCGCAATGAACACATACTGCTTTTGTAGTTTGAAATGAAAACAGTTTTTAAAACTTCACACAGAGTAGAATATCTCTTTTTTTTCTCCTCCTCTTACTCCTAGTGTTTGCAGCTTTCAAAACACTAATCTAGTGTGTATGCATGTGACAATAACTCTGAAAAAAATTGTCCTAAACTTCTTGGATCTAATAGATTATGAAACCAAATGATAGAATACCATATTGCTTTAAAAAAAAAATCCAGAAGATGTGGATCAAGCAACAAAGAAAACAGAGGGAGGGAAAAGGAATCCCAATCAAATGAGCTGTAGCCTGAGAGCACTGAGCTTCGGTTTTCTTAGTTCCCAAGGTAGGAAGACTGGGGACAAAAAGTCAAATATACTCAACCTCAAACACTGAATAAACAACTCTACCGATAATGCTGTGACCTCTAAGAGATACAGACTCAGAAAAAGGGTATCTGTCTCAGATATTTAAGTTAGGTAAAACAGAAAAATATTTCCTCAGAATTTCGATACACATCTGGGCCTCATATAGGTTTTTCAGCCTAAATTCACACAATCTATGTGGCCCCCAAAGCTTTCAAACTCCCAATTCAGTTCAAAATGATCCCCAGACACTTAGGAAAAGTGAACTAAATCCTCATGGAAGGATCACATCTTTAACCCGGGCCTCAAAAAACCACCACTAATAAACTTCCAAGGAAGATGGGCTAATGGTTACAAAAAGGAAACTAAGAAAACACAAAATAAATAAGTAAACAAAGCATCATGATGATGAACTAGAAAAAATATTGAATCAATTAAAATTTTTGACAGTGCTAATTACTTACTGGACATAGGATATAAATTACAATATTTTACATGCATGATATTTAAAGAAATAGAAAAGAATAAAATTATAAGCAAAAAGGGGGCTATACAAAAGAACAACTGTAATTTTAAAAAGTATAAAGAAGGACTTAGGACTTATAATAATTAAAATAACAAATTTAAATCTCAATAATGGCTTTACCAGCAGATTTGATATAGCTGTAGAAAGATTTAGCAAACTGAAAATTACAAAGCAATCTACAAAGCAACAAATTACAAAGCAATCTACAAATC